ACGGAAAAAAAAAAAAAAAAAAAAAAAAAAAAAGCATCAACTTTTACCTTTTCTGACCTCATTAAATGTTTGCTTTTTACCTCATAATTAGTTCTATTTTCTTTGGGTTTGGTTTACTGATCTTTTTCTAGCCTCTTGAAATAGTATGTTAGATAATGGATTTTTAGCCTTTGTTATTTTCTTGTTCATTTAAAGGTACACATGTCATTCTCAGCATTGCTTTAGCTACATCCCACAAGTTTATTGTTATTCAGTTCAAAACATTGCCTCATTTTTATTTTGATCCCTTCTTTGACCCTTGGGTTATTTAGGAGTGTAGTGTTTGATTTTCAAGCAGTTCTGATTTTCTTAACTTTTTTATATTTATTTCTAGTTTAATTCCACTGTGGTCAAAGAAGTACTTTGAATGATTCAATCCTCTGAAATTGTTGAAGCTTGCTTTATGTCCTACATTATAATCAGTTTTGGTAAAGGTTCCATGTGGATTTGAAATAATGTGTTTCTGGCATTAGTAAGTGTTTAGTTCAGCGTATGTCAATTAGGACAAGTTCATTAATTGATTTATTCCAATCTTCTCTATTCTTAGGGTTTGGTTGTTACTGTTTTTTTGGTTGTTGTCTTTTGTCTCTTGTATAATTTTCTGTTATGGGAGGTGTGTTAAAGTCTTCCAGTGTGTTTGTTGATTTGTACTTCTCCATTTAGTTTATGTATTTTTGCTTCGTTTATTTAGAAAATATATTATTGGGTTCAGATTTAGACTTGTAATAACTTCCTGGTGAATTAACACCTTTTTATAATTAACTAACTCCACCCACACACAACTCATTTACAAAGAATGTGCTGCACCACCCCCAACTGGACCTAAGGTGATTAAATTATTTTATTTTCCCAACAGTCCATCCCTTCAGGGTCCCTCAGTACTATCCCTTGCAGTACAATCTACACGTTCAGAATCTTTCATGATGTTTCTTAGCAAGGCTAGATGACCCTTACATTTACATATTACACATTCCATCCCAGTCCCAAAAGTCTTTGGCTTGTTGCAGCACCAACTTCTCACTTTTTTAAAATGCAAGTGTCTCAGAGGAGAGAGAAACAACTGTGGGGATTTATATAACAAAAATAGAATTTAGGGGACCTTATTTATTATATCTGTCCTTCCTAATATCCATAGATGTAAATACAAGGGTACTTCAAAAAAGTTCATGAAAGATCTGTATATTCTCTTTTAATTCTATTTTTTTCTGTGAACTTTTTGAAGATCCCCATAGCTGTTGCCTTCTCTCTAAGACACTTGTATTTTTCAAAAATGAGTAAATGGGGATCAATGAGATTAACAGAGAGTCTATAAAAAAATACTGAAAGGAGAGAAAGTAAAAAAACATATGAAAGATTTGGAGAGAGATATATGGTTCAAATTTGGAGTAAACAGACCTCCTAGAAGCTTTTTGTTTGTTTGGTTGGTTTTATTTTTTTCTTTCCATGCATGATATCGATTTACTGGGGCAGACTTGTAGTTTGGGAGAGGCATGTGAGAAAAATAGTTTAGCACCTTACCTAAAATTCTACTCAAAGTTTGATTCCAGCTGGATTTTAGGTCTAAATATACATACAAACGTTAAAGCTTCTACACAATAATATAGAAAATATGTTCATCATCTTAAAGATAGACATATTTCTTAAAGAAATCTAAAAAGTACTAAACACTGATGGAAATATGGAAGTGTTATATTGCATTAATGGAGTCTTTAAAAGATTTTTATTAATGGACTCTAGGCATGCTGCAAAGGGTCTGGAATGTAAAGATATGATAATATCTTGAGGAGAGACAAAGACAGGACATTCAAAGTAATGGTTGCCACCCAGAATGTTTATGGTTAAACAGTTTCTAGAGAAGGATAAAAGGTCACTTGCAAATTAACTTGCATAGCCAGGAGCAATCAGTTTCTGGCATAAAGATTTCGAGGCAGTTATCATGTAAAGCACGGCCATCTGAGCAGATTATCACGTAGGAGCGGTCTCACAAGAAGGGGTGTGGGGCTTCAGGCCCCCAACAACATTCCCATTTCAGAAGGGAGGAATAGAAAGGAAAAACAGGCCCCAAACAAATCCAAAATGCAAACAGGGCAAACGTTAGGCACACTGGGGCACCTGGACCCCTAAAGCGTTGGGCATCCTCGCTCCTACAGCTCCACCAAGTGCAAGCCATTGAGCTGCCCTGGTGCCTGCAGCTTTTCCAGGCTGGCACTGCACACTGCCAGCAGCCCCATGGTTCTGGGCTCCTGGTGGCAATCCTGCCATCCTGGCTCCACTAGACATTTCCTCAGTGGGGGTTCTCTTTGAGGGCTCTGACTCCACTTTTCTGCTCCACATTGCTCCATAGATGACCTCCGCAGTGGCTCCACCCCTGCAGCAGGCCTCTGCCTGAGTCCCCTGGCTTTTTCATACATCTTCCAAAATCTAGGTGGAGGCTGCCATGCCTCCACTGCACTCTCATACTGCTGGCCTGCAAACTTAACACAACGTGAACGCCACCAAGGTTTTCAGCTTTTTCTTTTCAGAGATGCTGAGGCAGGTTTGCTCCAGCCAGAGTGGCTGGTATGCAGGGAGCAGTTTGCCGAGGGCAGCAGTGCCCCAGGTCTGCCCTCCAGAGAAACTCAGTCTTGTCCTCTGTGATGGGAGGGGCACTCTCCCAAACTTATGAAATGCCCTTGGGGCCTTTTCATTGTCTTGGCTATTAGCATCTAGCTGCCCCATCCCTGGCTCCTGAATTAACTTGTATCAGCTCAGCTTACACTGGCTATTCACTCACAGTCTCAAGCAGTTCTGCAGAGCGTTCGCCCACAGTTCAAACAACTGCATTCACTCTGTCACTCTTTTCTAGGGTGCCTTATATGGCACCCGTCGAGCCATCTACTTTCTCGGGTTTATATGGCACCCAGCCAGCTATTGGGTTTAAGTGGCACCCAGCGAGCCATCTGCCTTTGGACAAACACGACATGCATTTACTACGTCATCTGCAGAGCACGTTACACCATCCAACCCTAGGTCCCATAGGCTGCTTGTGCTTCACTTTAATGAGCAGGTCGTTCCAGGAGATGCACGATCTCCCCCAACTCACCACTGGGTTTGTCATCTTCCGTAGTGTGAGAAGCAGGAGTGGCCAGTTGGTGCACGCCATCCTCCAGTACATTTATCTGTGCTTTCAACAACTCTGCTTTCTGCTGCAAATCTCTATCAGTTTGCATCATAGTGAGCAGTAGCCAGGCCCTGGTCAGCAGAAAAGTGGCCACTGGGCACCAAATGCTCAAAGATAGCCACATTTCCTCCCCCTCCCAAGGGGTTTTCTGCTGTAGTGCCTGGTCTATGCTGCCTTGCAGTACAGTGAGCAACAACCAGATCCTGGTCAACAGGAAGGCAGCCATAGGGCAGAGCATATTCAAAAGTAGCCACATTTCCTCCTTCTTCCAAGGGCTTTCAGCTCCTGTACCTGCTCAGAATCCTGCTATGACTATGCCAATTGTTGAGCTAGGGCTGGTTCTGGAGCTCACGGACCCCTCAAGCCACTGTCCAGAGTGGGTCACAAACCCTTCACACACAGGTCTATGAGCTAGGTAACTGGCAAAAAGGTCCTTGGAGCCATAGGATGGAGAGCATGGCCAT